AGATTTTCGGAATTAAATTCATATTGGCTAGCCGCGTCATGCAACCAAAGTTAATGTGACAAAGTCGTGAATGCCAAATATCAGACTCATTGTTGTGGCAAACATTATTAATAACTTTAGTGCAAATATCTGACAAAGACAGGCGGAACAAGCCTCCGCTCTCATAGCCTTTTCCAACAAATTGTCCATACTTAGAAATTACAACTTTATTGGATTCGAAAACCAACTTAAAACTATCGCGACATAAACGGGAACGGCTAACAAGATTTTTATTTATGGACGACACATGATGAACATTCCTCAGACGCATAGTCTTCCCCGAAGTAAACTTCAGATCGACCGTACCAACACCTCGAACGATGGCATGTGACCCGTTCCTCATCAGCACGGGTGAAGTCCCTGTTGCCTGGTAAGCAGAAAACATGGAGGCATCAGCACAAACATGTACATTGGCACCGGCGTCAATTAACCAATCAGGGGATTGAAATACTGAAATGATGGTAGGAAAAATACCGTACCCTGATTCCTTCATATCAATATCACCAATGACAACATTAGCGGACTTGCCGCTCTTCTCATGTTCGCGCTCCTCAAAGCGGTTAGGACACTTCGGTGCCCAGTGATTAGGATCACCGCAGACATGGCAAAGTCCCTTCCCCTTCTTATGAGAATTCTTCTTGAAGTTGGTAGAATGTGATGGCTTGTTTTTTGTATCAAACTTGCCTTTGCCCTGATTTTTGTTCTTATTGTTTTTAAACTTGTTGGGCTGGGAGTTCTTCTTCTGTATCATGTGGGCACTAGAACCTCCCTCAGCAACTCGAGCACGTGTGTCCTTTGCTCTCGCCTTCTCTTCAACATCAAGAGTACCAATGAGATCCGCAACGGAAAACTCTTGTCTCTTGTGTTTCAGGGAAGTAGGAAAATTATTCCACGAAGGTGGAAGCTTGGCAATGATGCCTCCGGCAACAAATTTGTTCGGCAACACACATTTGAAGTACTCAAGTTCTTTTGCGAGCGACTGTATCTCATGAGCCTGTTGTACAACAGGACACTCATCAATCATCTTGTCATCATAGAATTGCTCCATGACGTACAACTCGCTGCCGGCGTCCGAGGCACCAAACTTGGCCTCGAGCGCAACCCACATGTCCTTGCCGTTGTCAAATGACATATACGAATCCACAAAGGAGTCATCAAGAACACTCAGAAGAGCGCCTTTAAAGAGGGTATCGATCTTCTCGAAAGCTTCCAGCTGTGCTGGATTAAGATCGCCCTCAGGCTTGCCCTTGGTGGCGTCATAGTAGCCCATGGTCTGAAACCAGTAGACTGCTCTCATGCGCCACCTCTTATATTGCGCCCCCTTAAAGGCAGGCGGCTTCAGATGCGCAGCAAAACCACTCGGAGTAAATTGCCTATAATCAGGTTTTTGGATTGTTGGAAATATGAGCAAGTTACTACGAGTTTAATCCGAATAATTAGAAGATAAATCATGACTACAGTAGCAGAGATTAAACTAATCATGCGAACAAGCATAGCAGATGAACAGATCACATCTAGGGCACATACTAGAAACATGAATTCTACCACGATCTCGAATAGGAAGGATAGAATCACATACGGTGCAGCGGGAGCAGCACCGCCGGCGTTGACGTTGTCGCCCATGTCGTCGAGGATGAGGTTGCCGAGGTCGGGGAAGAAGTCGTCGTTCGCGAAGTCATCGCTGCCAGCAGTCGCGCAAGTGCGCTCCCCAAAAACCTGATCGCCCCTCTCCCGTACAGGATCACGAGAGGCGAGGTTCCGGAGGCCTGCTGTCCCTTCTCCCGGTGCACGCCGAAAGGAGGGATGGAGAAGACTTGCTAGGCGGCGCCATGATCTGGAACGGCTAAGGAAATATGCCCTAGAGGCAATAATAGTGTTATTATTTTATTTCCTTATATCATGATAAATGTTTATTATTCATGCTAGAATTGTATTATCCGGAAACATAATACTTATGTGAATACATAGACAAACCAAACGTCACTAGTATGCCTCTACTTGACTAGCTCGTTAATCGAAGATGGTTATGTTTCCTAACCATAGACATGTGTTGTCATTTGATTAATGGGATCACATCATTAGGAGAATGATGTGATTGACATGACCCATTCCATTAGCTTAGCACCCGATCGTTTAGTATGTTGCTATTGCTTTCTTCATGACTTATACATGTTCCTATGACTATGAGATTATGCAACTCCCGTTTACCGGAGGAACACTTTGTGTGCTACCAAACGTCACAACGTAACTGGGTGATTATAAAGGAGCTCTACAGGTGTCTCCAAAGGTGAATGTTGGGTTGGCGTATTTCGAGATTAGGATTTGTCACTCCGATTGTCGGAGAGGTATCTCTGGGCCCTCTCGGTAATGCACATCACATAAGCCTTGCAAGCATTACAACTAATGAGTTAGTTGCAAGATGATGTATTACGAAACGAGTAAAGAGACTTGCCGGTAACGAGATTGAACTAGGTATTGAGATACCGACGATCGAATCTCGGGCAAGTAACATACCGATGACAAAGGGAACAACGTATATTGTTATGCGGTCTGACCGATAAAGATCTTCGTAGAATATGTAGGAGCGAATATGAGCATCCAGGTTCCGCTATTGGTTGTTGACCGGAAAAGTGTCTCGGTCATGTCTACATTGTTCTCGAACCCGTAGGGTCCGCACGCTTAAGGTTTCGATGACAGTTATATTATGAGTTTATGAGTTTTGATGTACCAAAGTTAGTTCGGAGTCCCGGATGTGATCACGGACATGACGAGGAGTCTCGAAATGGTCGAGACATAAAGATTGATATATTGGAAGCCTATATTTGGATATCGGAAGTGTTCCGGGTGAAATCGGGATTTTACCGGAGTACCGGGAGGTTACCGGAACCCCCCGGGAGGTATATGGGCCTTAGTGGGCTTTAGTGGAAGAGAGGAGAGGTGGCCAGGGCTGGGCCGCGCGCCCGTCCCCCCTAGTCCGAATAGGACAAGGAGAGGGGGGCGACGCCCCCCTTCCTTCTCTCTCTCCTCTTTCCCCCTCCCGAATCCTATTCCAACTAGGAAAGGGGTGAATCCTACTCCCGGTGGGAGTAGGACTCCTCCTGGTGCGCCCTCCTCCTGGCCGGCCGCACCTCCCCTTGCTCCTTTATATACGGGGGCAGGGGGCACCCCTAGACACACAAGTTGATCCACGTGATCATATTCTTAGCCGTGTGCGGTGCCCCGTTCCACCATAATCCTTGATAATATTGTAGCGGTGCTTAGGCGAAGCCCTGCAACGGTAGTACATCAAGATCGTCACCACGCTGTCGTGCTGACGAAACTCTTCCCCGACACTTTGCTGGATCGGAGTCCGGGGATCGTCATCGAGCTGAACGTGTGCTAGAACTCGGAGGTGCCGTAGTTTCGGTGCTTGATCGGTCGGGCCGTGAAGACGTACGACTACATCAACCGTGTTGTGCTAACGCTTCCGCTATCGGTCTACAAGGGTACGTACACTACAAGAAATATGTCAACTTGTGACCTTGACTATTGGTCACTGAAAGGTCATTGTTTTTCATTTGTGACATTTTTGTGACCAAAAACAGAAGGTCAAAAGTTGGCGGTCGTAAACTGAAATTAACGACCTTCTCTGTGAGAAGGTTGTAGACGTTTACGACCAAAATATGTCTATTCTTTTGTTTTGGTCACTAGCAGCCTCCCCAGACCACGTAGGCATCCAGCGTGGCAAGCTGATGTGGCACAAGAATCAGCCCGGTCCGATTCTGTGTTTTACATGAGCCAAGCCCGGCAATTCAGCCTTTTTATATATTTTTCTGTAAATTTTTTATCGGCTTCATGGGCCAAGCCCAACAATTCAGCCTTGTTAGTTTTTGAGATTCATGCAATTTTTTTGGCCCTCGAGCTTTTTGCAGTCCATTTCTTTTTTTTAAGACTTATCATTTCATTTTTGAAATTGTTCGATGCTTGTTGGTATGTGGCCTGTTTCAGCCCAATTATTTGTCCAGTTTGGCCCAAGCAGACTTTAGCCCAATCACACACATACATCCAACATTATTTCATTCAAATTAGGAAAACTCCCAGGTTTACATAACACAAAAAGAAAATATCTCCCAGGTTTACATAACACAAAAAATCATCTTAGGAATACATTTCCTTACACAGGAATATACAATAAGAAAATTATGGCACATCTGCTACTATCATAACAGCACAATGTACTTTTTTTAACGGAACAGTACAATGGATTTCATTGCTCTCTCTTATGCGACATGCTCCAGCTGCCACAACTTGCCATCCTACAATGAGAGAGATATAACATTAGTGGAGCAAACTGTTGTCCAGGCACATTAGTTTTATGAGAAAACTGATCCATGAAGCAAGACCAGAACACATTCTGCACAACTTTTGATAACACAATTTGGATTAAACAACAGATTATGCTTAGCTAACTTAGAAACAAGTACTGCCTATGATGCATGTCTATCTATGTGCATTGCATTTTACTTTGTTCAAAAGTAGAAGCTATATGTCCATTTTTCCAGGTTTGAAGCTACAAATCTAAAAGATAAAGTATAAGTTAACTGAATTGTGTTTTTTTAGATAATAACTGAATAGTGCACAGTAGAACCAATGTTTCATAATAAACAACTAGTGTTTGTGATGAAAACTTGACGTTACAATAAAACCACTGGCAAGGCTTTTTTGAGCCTAAATAAAGGATACTGCCTATTGAATTCTACAACAAACAGGTCAACTTCTGCAGTTCTAGAATTTCCACGAAATATGTTCTAGTATGCCTAAATATTCATCAACTCTTGTCATCGTATGAAAATAAAACCAGTGAACAGCACACCGTATTTGGATGCTATCTATACTAGTATGGAATGATGCCAGGTAAGACGATCTCAGCGAGGTGCACAGTTGTTTAGAAAGGAAAGCAGATTTGACTGAAGTACCAATTTTCAGAGTTTGCATAGCACCATAAACAGGCAGCTGTAAATTACTAAATGTTGCCACACTAGAATGTTATCCAGAAAGAATGATACGAGGCAGGCGGCGTCCATTACCGACGATCTCGCCGAGGTGCATGGAGATGGAGTTGAGCTGGGCCAGAGGTCTTCCAGGCATATGTTGTTCACCTGATCACCACCTCCCTGCATGCCGCACACACACTGCAAGTTAGATTACATACAGACAGATTGTGTTTCTAATGCATACATACCACTAACAGAGACCGTGGTGTTCTAGGATGATGCATAGTCCATCTAACTAATCAATATCATATATGATGCAGAGTCCTCCAGATGATGGAATACCTTTCAAAGTGAGGCATCCTTGGAATACTAGGTTGTTCTGATGCTATATAAAATAGAGTAAAAAAACTAAGGTAATCATCCTAATCGAGGCAGCAGGGAAAAGGACATGTGAGCTAAAAAGCACGGACACACCAGGAATCGCCGAACTGCCATCCTGATACGCCGGGATACGGGGATACCCGAATTTTGGAGTATCCCCGAAATTCGAATTAAAAAAAGAAAAAAACGATTGGGATACGCTGGGATACGCGGGGACATGTTAGGGATACGGCCTGGCCCAAAAACACCCCCGGCCCAGCCACGGCCCAATATGTAACCCTATTTTGCAGTGTCTCAGCGTGCCCTAGAGATAAGGACGAGCTGCTCCCTGCCTCCTAGATCGAACAAAAGGAGCCGCCACCTTCTGGATTGAACTTGCCACCACCTGGACTCGCCGCCGCCGGCGCCGGCGACTCCTCCATCCAGCACCAGCACCAGCAGTCTCTCCTCGGCTCCTCGCAGCTGTAGGTAACCCAGCAGTCTCATTTGTTCAAGTGTTCATTGTCCTGCTAGTGCTAGTGCTCATTGTTGTGATGTGCTCGTACTTGTTGATAGGTAGCCAAACGGCATTGCAAATTGGGTAAGCAAAGCAAACATCTTTTTTACTGTTTTCCATGTGTTCTTATTGTGGGACAGAATATATCTTCTACTCTTCTACTCTTCTTTATAATTTGTGTTTGATGTGTTTTGCAAGATGCAACTTGCAATGAGATGGGGGGACGAGGATCGATCAAGCACTTGATAAAAGAGACACAAAATGGGGCAGTACCCTAGTCTATTCTTTATTTTGATCTCTTTCTCTTTAATTTTCTGTCTTAACTCTATATTACATGGCATATTTTTGTTTTATTTTATATATACTCGCCGTATCCCCGAATGGCTGTTTTTGGAAAATGCCGTATCCCGTATCCCCGTATGCGTATCCCCGTCTTTCCGTCCCCGTGTCCGTGCTTTTTAGCATGTGAGCAGGGCATGTATGCACATTTTGAAAAGAATGAACAGAGCCAACTAAAATCTGTGAGCATTAAAACTTGTGGGAAATTTGGTCAATCACATGAACAGGGCCTTTATGCACATTTTTCCCTACCAGTAGTCCAGTACCATTAGAAAGACAACAGATCGGCGGTATCATTTTAAAAACTTTGTTGTAAGGTTGCTGTTAGCTTTCTGCTCTGATTCAAGTTAACTTGGCACCTGTAAGATTTTTAAACACATTCTCTGGCTTCACACTAACTTGGGAGTAACCCATGAGGTCTGAAAGATTCAGAGTTAACAATCAACTCTGATTCAAATTCAGAATTCAGATTAGAAAATTTACATCATGATTTCTGTTTACATGTAAGCATGATTCGTTCAATTTTTTGAAGTATAAGCGAAGATCCAGCATGTCTTAAGCAAGAGGAAGCATGTCTTAAGGAAGAAGAAACAAAACAGAACAGAAGAGATACCACATGGTTACTTGCTCACTCCATCGAACTCATCCGTTTATCTTTCATTTCTATGATGAAAGTAGACTTGGGGTTATATGGTTTGAAACTCTGAATCAAGTGGCCAACAAATGGCTACTAGGTGAGCCAGTCAGTAATCGTGGCCGAGTCATTGATACTCATGTCAGTTGATCTATGAAATCCTACAGCATTCACACTACGCATCAGCATCCACTATGTTGAGCAGTTCACATTATCTTTGCACCTCGTGGCCAAATATCACATTGAGAGGTTCAATCTTTGCACCTCGTGGCCAAATATCAACAGCGCATGATACACATTATCTCCCTAAACTCTAAAGTTGTGCTAAATCTGGACGTATAAACTGAAATAGAGTCCATTGATTAGTGATTATTGTATGAAAGTTCCTGCCTAAGCCCTGCATAGCCACATAGGCATAACACCAAACATCTGGGTTGCTCACAGTCAACCAATGCTAAGTATTGACTTGACCCACAGCATTCCGCACATACGGATAACAAGATCCAATTCTGTTACAGGTTGAAGGTTGAAGGTATGTATATTACATACCAGAGATGGCCGTCGTTTGCGACTGGGTCGGCGTCGGGACGGCGTGGTGCTGCGGCGCCTGGAGGCCTTCGGACCACCACAACTAGCCTCTACTTGTGCTCTGTGTAATGTAATCGTCAGTTGCGATAGATGTATTTACAGCGTTGTTGACAACAAGTTTTGCACAGAACATTTAATAAAGGAAAAAAACAATCTAATCTGAATGAGATGCACATTATAATATCATCACATCAATTAGCGCAGGAATAACCCCCATGACAAGGAAGGATAAATAAACTAACCCAACCCACCTCCTCTACTTTTTTAGCCTGGGCCAAGCAAAGACTCAAACTCAACTAACGCAGGCCATCTAATCAAATATAACCACATGAGGCTTCTTGAATCAAAACAAATAAATGAAAAGACCCACCAATACAGGAGATGCTAGATAGTAGTAGTAGGTGGTAGGAGAAAATCTGGAACAGAGCACGGGTTTCTTGAATTAGAATAATGAGAACTTTGCACGACCAAATCCGAGGGAGCATTAACAAATGACTGGGAGCAATTAACAAAGAGACAACCTAGGGGGGTCGACTACACCTGAATCTCTCGACCTCAGTAATCAAGCTGAGCAAATCGCACGGGCGAATTGCTCAAAAAGCGTGCGTGTGGATTACAGAAGAAATACTCTACTGAGGTAGGAGAACGTACGGGCGTGGTGGTGGTAGAAGCACGAGGCGAGGGAGTCAAAGCCGCGGCGGATGGGGAGGCGGAGATCCGGCGGGACGGGGACGCCGGCGACGAGGTACTTGTAGATGAGCGCCTGCTGCTCCAACTCCTCGTCCTGTGCCGCCGTGAAGGTCGCCGGCCTCGCCGCCCACCTCGCGCCGCTCATCGTGTGCTGCTGCTGCTGCTGGGGAGGGCGCTGATGATATAAATTACAGAGGAAAATAGAACATCTTGTTCGGTGGTAAGGCAGTAAACAAGGTGGGGAAGGTAGAGGAGGGAGCTGGGGAACGACCTTCTGTCGCGCGTCGTCGTGGTCGGGATGGACGACACCGTCATGGTCGAGCTTGAGGTCGGACTCGGCGATCTCCTCTTCAAGCTCGTCAGGCCCGGGTGTGGGGTCGCGCATGTCCTGGTCATCCTCCTCCTCCTCCTTGTCATCGTCGTCGATGTCGCCTGCCGGTTTAAATCCAACCCAAAAAAGGGATCAGACAAGGAATTAGAGAGAGGATCGGGGTCGGGGAAGGGGAAGGGGAAGTCGAGTGGGAGAAGGGGTTACCTTGAGGACGTCGGCCATGGTGTGCCTGGGAGGGCGCGGATCAAGCTCGACGACGGCGCGGATCCGAAAGGCCCTCTGTGGCCGTGGCAGATCTGACCGCGGACTGACCTCGTTGGCTCCAGCTGGCGCCATGGGAGAGATGGAGAGGTGCGGCTCCATCTTTTCAGTGGTCGGAGAGCGGCGCTAAGAACGCGGAGGCGGCGGTGGCGATGAGGTGGTCGCGGAGCGGGTTGTCAGCGGGGAAGGCGAGGAGGAGCAGGCGCGCG